TCCTTCTTTTTGGCTGAAACAATCAAATACTTGTACCTGCTCTTTGACCCAGACAACTTCATTCACAATGATGGATCAGACTTTGATGTGGTGATTACACCATATGGGGAATGCGTCTTGAATGCTGGAGGGTACATCTTCAACACTGAAGCTCATCCCATCGACCCTGCTGCCCTGCACTGCTGTAGGAAGAGTAAGGAAGAGCAGTGGGAGGTGGAGGATTTGATGCGGGAATTCTACTCACTGAAGAAACCCAAGAAATTTACTTTAAAAAGAGCTTCCACCCATGGTGAAGGGGAAGGTGCAACAGACCCTGAAGATGCTTCATCAGAGAAAGGTAGAGAGAAGAGGAACTCCAAGAAGAGCTCACACTCCCTTCTGAGTTGCCCCAGTCAGTCTTTTAACTCTAAGCTTGCAGTACTGGGACAGGTCTTCCTGGATAACACCTGATTCTGTTTTCCTCATCAATTTAAATTATTGAACTTGAGTTAGACTCTGGGAGTATATTTTTTTAGTTTCATAATGGAAAGTGTTGTACCTCACAATGTGAATTTTATTAGGAAGTGAAGCAGCTTCCCATTAAATTCTGCTGCTGCTCATTCATCAGATGTGATTCAGATACTCAGCTGTTACTGCCTATCTCAAACCAATTAGTTGCCTGAATAGCAAGTTCAATAAGGCCAAGTGCAAGGTCCTGCCTCTGGGTCAGGGCAATCCCCAGCACAAACACAGGCTGGGAGAGACTGGATGGAACAGCCCTGAGGAGAAGGACTTGGGGGTGTTGGGTGAGGAGAAGCTCCCCATGACCTGGCTTAAGTGTGTGCTTGAGCCCAGAAGCTCCCCCTGTGCTGAGCTGCACCCCCAGAGTGTGAGCAGCAGCTCAGGGAGGGGATTAGATAATAGGCAGGAGCTCTTCCCTGTGAGGGTGCTGAGGCGCTGGCACAGGGTGCCCAGAGAAGCTGTGGCTGCCCCATCCCTGGCAGTGTTCAAGGCCAGGTTGGACACAGGGGCTTGGAGCAAGCTGCTCTAGTGGAAGATGTCCCTGCCCGTGGCAGGGGGTTGGAACTGGGTGAGCTTTAGGTCCCTTCCAATACAAACCAGGCTGGGATTCATTCTATTCTATGATGATTCCATTGTGAGTTTGGTTTGAGGTTTTACAGACTTATGCGAAGTCGACACTTTGCTCTATAAAAATGAGCCTGAGCAGTTGCCTGTTATACGGGGAAAAGCAGGGATCACAAGGGATATCCCTACCTCTGAGCCTTTAAATCTCCTCTGTGATGTGCTCCACCTTTTTTCTTTGGCCTCTTAAGGAACATGTGATTTACCTGAGAGATTGATGACCAGTTGAGATAACTTGTTGAGTTTGAGGTGGTTTCTGTCTGTCAAGCTGAAGGATGCTGTGGGGGAAGGAGAGCACTGGCAACATAGCAAAATTCTTGGTTCTTCCATGTCTAGAACAAGTGTGGGTCAGTACTAACTGCCTGAAACCAGTTTAATAAATGTCCAGGTAGTGTCATCTGGAAACTGGGGTGGAGTGTGGACTAGCAGAGATTTGGTTTACCCTGCAGTGGAGCTTGCTTCCTTCTTACAGAAGCTAAGACACTTTTCCTATGACATTTCCCCATTTCCTTCCTCTTTCAAACTTCCCTTTGGGCCTCACTTGTGTAACTCCACATCAGCCAACTCAGTGGGTGAAGTTGGCCTCAGGGGGCAGCAGGCAGTGAGAGAGCTCCCATAACCCTTCTTATGGAAACTCTTATTTCTTAAGAGGTGAAATGCATGAAACCTCTTGGATTTCAGCTGACTTGACAAATCCAAACCTTTAAATGTGACATTAGTGTCTTTTTGACAGATGTATGCAAGGATCCAACACTGGTGTTACAAAGAGGTTTTCTTTCTAAAGAGAGGGAAAAAAGGGGGGGCAGAAAAGTGATGAACTTTCTTCAAGCCTGCTGGGAAGTGAGGGGTTGGAGCAGGCACAAACAAGCTACATTCAGTAGCAGAACCAAAGGGCCTTAGAAGGTAACACCTATCCTTAGCACGGTTGGAGTTGAAAGAACTCATCTCTCCACAGTTACTGACCTACTGTGAGTAATCAGGTGGACCTTGGTTGGTGCTATGGATGGGTGAGTCAGAATAACACAAGACAGCCTTAATTTTGGTTTGTTCCAGTATTTGGGAGCTGCTACCATCTTACTAAGACTTTCTTTTCACAAAAATTACTTTCTTAGGCTCCTTAGTAAGCCTTTTCTGTAAATGGAAAACTGTTAACAGAAAAATGTTAACAGAACGTAGAGGAGCTTTGTCAGGAGCCCAAGATGAGAGGTGTGTTAAACACAGACAGGTAGTGGCAGCTTTGAAAGGCTTCCAAATGAGGCAGGTCAGGGCTCAGGAGGTCCTGCCTCCAGTGCATACTTGTGGCATCTGTCAGAGGCTGGAAGGAAACCATAGCCTTTGCTTGGGTGGAGAAAGAAGACAGAACCCAAATTTAGCATGTATTGTTGATGCCATACCTAAAAGTGTGGTGGTGTTTTTCTCCACCCTCAGCAGCCTGCAAAGCCCAAAACTTCAGGCTGGATTTTCTGAGGTATTTCGAAAGCAATTGCTGGGATGTGGAGAGGCTGTGGGTTGGTGAAAGGTCAAACCAGCTTCTTGTGAAATACTATAATGGAGCTAACAAAGGAAAAAGAAGAAAAAGTCAGACCTTTGTATGAATTGCTAGCAATGGCAAAAATACCCATACGAGAAAGGAAAGGGGGGAGTCTGACAGGAGAAGCCCTAGGGGAAGGTACTGAGAGCAGCCGTTTGAGGCAGCATCAGCAGGCAAGTGAACAGATTTCCGTGTGTGCATTTCTTCAGCTGCAGTGCTTAGTGGCTGTGAGCAGCAGTTTATCCAACAGCAAGTAATCCATTAGCACATCTTGCTTTTCACAATTAAAACTGTGATCATCATCAGGCCCACACATTATTCATGGTGGGGAGAAGGGCCGGAAGATGGGATGCTGTAAAACTTTAAAGTACATCCCGTGAGAGCCATCGCAGCAGCACGGGCTGGGCTAGAGGGTGCTCTAAAGCATCATGTTAATTGCTAGGGTCATTGTTGACTTCTGTTGTCCCTTGTACAAAAAAAAGGGATAATAAAATGGGATATAGAATCATAGAATCATAGAATAGTTAGGGTTGGAAAGGACCTTAAGATCATCTAGTTCCAACCCCCCTGCTACGGGCAGGGACACCTACCACTAAACCATCTCACCCAAGGCTTCATCCAACCTGGCCTCGAACACTGCCAGAGATGGAGCATTCACAACCTCCCTGGGCAACCCATTCCAGTGCCTCACCACCCTTACAGTAAAGAATTTCTTCCTTATATCCAATCTAAACTTGCCCTGTTTAAGTTTTAACCCGTTACCCCTTGTCCTGTCACTACAGTCCCTAATGAAGAGTCCCTCCCCAGCATTGCTACAGGCCCCCTTCAGATACTGGATGAACTCTATTCCCCCTCATCTCTTGAAGACTACTGGCCAGATATTGCAGGAGAACCCACAGGCTTGTTGCTGCTATCAGACCCTGCAGCAAACCAGGAAAACTGTCCCTGCAGACCTGTAGAGTCCGTGCAGGGCAATAAAATACAGCTCCACCAGAAAACCATCAGTAAGCAAAGAGTGCCAGCCACACGGGGCCTGAATTACGACACAGGGGCAGCTTCAGTTCCTTCAGATCTCACCCCAAACTGAACAAACACCAAAGAAGTCAGGAAGCTTTCCTTATAACTCGAGCACAGGGCCAGGCCTTTGGCACTGTGGTTAGGGAACAGTTGTAGCTGTAGTTGAAAAGCTGTGGAAGCCCAGCCACAGATGCAGAGATGAAGCCTTCATAGCATGCGTTCTAATAATTTCTGTTTAGACAGCTTAGTTTTAGTTAGGGTTTTTTTTTCCCCTAATTCCTTTTTCTGTGGGAATCTGCTCTGGTTTAACTCAAAGGTCATTTTAATCAAGGTCTGCGTTTTAAGTGATTTTTGGTGCCTACATTGTATGTTCCCTCTTGTCTCACCAAGCACCAGAGCTGGCCTGGCAACAGCAGCCCTAAGCCTCTAGAGCCAGCCAGCAGCAGTGAGGGAGGAGAGTGGCTGCTGATCACTGTTGTGTCTTTGGGACCATCATCACCTTTTGGGTCCTTGGGAGCTGCTGCCTGCATGTTAGTCAAGAACTTGGAGCCCAGACCTTATCCCCATGTACTGGGCTACACCCCCATAGAGCATGAGCAACAGAACAGGGAGAGGATCCTGACCCTCTGCTGTGCTATGGGGAGACCCCCCCTGCAGCCCTGATCCAGCTCTGGGGCAGCAGCACAAGAGGGACGTGGAGCTGTTGGAGCGAGGCCAAAGGAGACCATGGAGATGCTGCGAGGGCTGGAGCAGCTCTGCTCTGGAGCCAGGCTGAGAGAGCTGGGCTGGGTCAGTCTGGAGAAGAGAAGGCTCCTGAAGGGGAGACCTTAGAGCAGCTCCAGTGCCTGAAGGGGCTGCAGGAAACCTGGAGAGGGGCTTGGGACAAGGGCCTGTAGGGACAGGCCAAGGGGAATGGCTTGAACCTGCCCGAGGGGAGACTGAGCTGAGCTCTTAGGCAGAAGCTCTTCCCTGAGAGGGTGCTGAGGCGCTGGCACAGGGTGCCCAGAGAAGCTGTGGCTGCCCCATCCCTGGCAGTGTTCAAGGCCAGCTTGGACACAGGGGCTTGGAGCAAGCTGCTCCAGTGGAAGGTGCCCCTGCCCGTGGCAGGGGTTGGAGCTGGAGGAGCTTTAATGTCCCTTCCAACACAAACCAGGCTGGGATTCTGTGACCGTGCTCCACAGTGTCTATTCCCCCGGTGATGTGTTTCCCGTTGGGGTTTATTTCCCCCCGGCGCCATTTACACTGCTCCGCTCCCCCCGTGTCCCGCTGCCCTTCCCGGCACCCCCGCCCCTCATTGGGACTACATTTCCCAGCATCCCCCGCAGCGCGCAGCGCTCTGCCGGGACTGGGTCCCTGCTCCCGCCCCGTACAAGGCACCTCCCGGCGTGGGGGGGACGCTTCATGTTTGTGTGTGCCCGAGCACCGCGGCGGCCATGGCGGAGGCGGCGGGGGGCCCCAGGCCCCGCAGAGCCCGGCGCGGAGCCCGCTCGGCGCCCACCAACATACTGCAGCAGCTGCGGTACGGGCAGCTCAGCGGCTGCGGCCTGACGCGGGGGACGCAGGTACGGGGTGTGGGGGGGCGGCACCTGGGCCTGGCGGCAAGGCCCGGAGCAGGGTGGGGGCTCACCGGGGCCGGCGTGGCAGGGGACTTCCGCGGGGCTGACCGAGGCCTGGCGCTCCCCGGCGCACCCCCTGCCCTCCGCACACCCCCTGCATGCGGCCGGGCCTGCAGAGCCGTCTGCTCCGGCCCGCAGGGTCCCGCTCCGTCTGGGGTTGGGAGCGGGGGTTTGGCGGCCTCTCGGCGGGGATGAGTCCTAGCCCGGCGCTGTTAGGCCTCCGGTGGAGTTCGGAGGCCGGGAGGAGCCCGGCGGGGCCTGCTGCCGAGCCTGCTTGGAGCGCAGCCTCGCCTGTGCTGCCCCACCGTGGTCCTGGCCGAGTCCTCCCCCTGCAGCCTGACGTGGTGGGGAGGAGGAGGATGCCCCTGTGCCTTCGTGCCCCTTGTTCCCCCTTCCCGTCTTTGGTCTCGCTATAAGAAAGGCTGTGGAGCAGGGCAGGCCTGTGCCATGCTGCGAGGGAGTCGGCCTCCCTTGTTGCTTTGGTTGGTGATAGAGGTTGTGGCTTCCCCCTTGAAAAGCAGCTTTGCACAGGACCGTGATAACGCTGCATCAGAATTAAGGTGTATTTGGTGGACAGGGGCAACCTGATGATACTAGAGCTCAGGAGGCATTTTAGCTCCGAAATGGGGTAGGCTTTATGCTGGTGGTTTTCCGTAGAACTGTTCCAGGTCTGTTTCAAATTTGTCATCTTTCCCAGTTGATGATGCTGGGGAATTACCAAGAAATGAAAGTTTGCTACCGAGGCTTGTGCTATCATGTGCTTGTGCTGGCTCTTTTAAGAAGCTGCTCATGGATAATGGAGTATTCATTTCGTTTTGTGAAGAGCAATTGGATTTTGTTTTACAGGTTAACTCTGAAATGGTTTAGAGACTTGGGAAGTGAAGTGTGGCATAAAGAACTTGCATTTGGGTGGTGATTTATTGAGCTGAAGTATCTTCAGAGAGTTGAAATGGCATTAAACACTATGTTCCTTGATTAACAAGGAGTGTGAGCAATTGTAAAGGGAGGACTTGGTTAGCATGAATGCGCACACCTCCTTCTGTAGCTGAGGTGGAAAAGCTTTTAGCCGCTCTTTTGTCCTCACTCTGCTGCTTGCTCAGGTAGTTTGACTGTGGCTTAAGAGGAAGCAAACCATTTGCATGAATTTAAACCTGATGAAGTGCCCTTCGAAGGAAGTTACTTCAGTGGGGTTGTTCTGCAGGGCATGCAGACAGAGCAGCATGCTGTTTCACCAACTCGCCTGTCCACTTCTATGCTCTCACTCACCCCACAACAGCAGCAGTTTAAGTCAGATAAACCTGTAGCAGTTGTGCACCAACCTGATCTGTTAGGATGATACCTCCACTCTTTAATTTGCTTGAGAAATGCAGTGTTGTCTCCTGTTTTAGTTGGGGGGTTTATTAAATCTTCGGAATCACTGCCAAAGCAGTGACCAGGCTTTAACAGGAAGTGAGGAAACTTCTAGTTATCTGCTCCTCCTTCTCATAATGCCGAAGTTTGGGATGGGGTTTTCTCGTTGGAAGGGGATGGTTTGTTTTACTTTATAGATTTCAGTATCAATGTGCTGCTCTCAAAGACTTCAGGCTTGGACACTGAGGGCTCCCAGTGCTTCAAAAATGCTGTTTTCAAGTCACTTAAACTAAGAGGGAATGACAAGAACTCCCTGAATGATTCTGAACTTAGTAAATGACACGTCTCTGTACTCTGCCTCAAAGCAGTTGTTTATATGTGATCTAAATATAAAACATTTTAATGTAACTTCTAAAGAAGCAGGAGGCAGTTTTGGGTGCTTATCTTTATTAAGTTCTATTTTTTATGAGAATGTTCACAGTTTTCCTACAGTTGGCTCCTCAGCAATGGTATTGTAGCTTGTGCTTCAGTTTATCAACTCACTTGCTCCTGAAAAGCATGAGAACAGATCAGGTTTCCAAGCTGCTGCGTTGGGGTTTAGAACAAGTTGGGAGAATGTTCTTTGAGCTCTGTCTTCCTGTTCTTTGCGAGGAAGTTCTGGGACATACACTGCATGGACTGCATACACTGCTGGTATTCCAGAAGGAGAAGAAAGCATTTTCAGACGTTAATTCAGAGAGATTAGGAAGCATGGTTCCTTGCTGAGTAGTGTTTTCCCACAATGTTCATATAATAGAATGGTTTGTCTTGGAAGGGACCTTAAGGCTCATCCAGTTCCAATTCCCCGCCACGGGCAGGGACACCTTCCACGAGAGCAGCTTGCTCCAAGCCCCACGTGGTGACTGTATTTCAGCATGTGATCTCTGGGGGACAGTCTGAACCCTTCTGTAGCCAATAGTGGCATTTGTGTACTGTTTTTAGGTGATCTCAAGATCAGTTTTTGTGTGAGGAAAGCAGAGGCTTATCCCTGAATGGGTGAGGTTCGTTGTTGGCAGGCCTGCATCTGAAAGTCCCACCAGTCTGATCATACAGGAGCATAATAGTATTTTTGACAGCAACCGCCACCTGAATGTCTGGCAGCTTTGACACAAGTTAAGTCTCCAAAATCTTGATCCTTGTGTGTTCCTGCTGTACTCACCTACCAGGACCCAGAGTTTTCTTGCTGGTTGATGGATAAGGCAGATTTCAGCAGGTATTGCCCTTGCTTGTTCATAGAGGCATTTGAGCCCAGTTGTTCCTTGGATACAGGCCTCAATCAGCGATACCAGATTGCAAAACTTTGTGTCAGGGTTTACCCTGAGTCCAGAGCAAGTGAAAGGAGCTTTTCAGATACTGGTAAACTAGAGCAGACCAACTTCCCAGAAGTGACACACATTTTCCAACAAGGAGAAACACTGCCTGGGACCTGGCTGGTTTGAGTCCCTGTGCTGGCCCAGCAGTTCTGTCTGCACACAAGCACTGTAAATAAGACCTGATAGGGTTTATGGTGCGGTTCCTTGAAGGCAGCAGAGCGTTTTGGCTCAGCTGATCAAGCTCAAATCCCTTTGCAAGACAGCGCATACTTCATCTGCTGCAAGCCAACTGTGAAAAGCATGTGTATAACATGAAACCAGAAGATATTTAGGTGCAGCTATGTGAGTTGCTATAGACAGAGCAGTATAATAATGGGCTAACCAGTGATCTGTTGGCAAATCAGTGTGCTGCTGGTGCAGACCCAAGAGCACATCGTCAGTGCTGCTCTCAGGATTGCCAAGGCTTAGCTGAAACAATCAGAATGGAAAAACAGAGTCCATCTTTCCAGCTGTGTTTCATCCCTAGGAATAGATGCTTCCCTTAGCAAGATAGCCCCTATCCACTCTGAAAAACATCTCTGTGGAAGGAGAATATCTGCCTCAGAAATGCCGATTCCCAGCTCCCACCACTACAGGTTGTCTGTCTGGAGTAGTTTCCTAACTCTAAGGAAATATTTTGGTTTCTAATCAGTTTTGGTCCCTCACACCACTGCCACCAAAAAAGCATTCGGGTGAATATAATCCACTTGAGTAGTTCTAATTGTTTGTGTCTTAGCAGGCTTATACTCCTCACTAGAGGACAGCTAGGGAGTACTGAAAACCCTGACATGCTTTTTATGTAACAGGGACCAGAGCTCTGTCATACATAAACACTCAGAAATGGTTGGACTTTACCGGTCTTATTTTGTTCCATGAGTAGGAAGAAAACTGTCATAGATGTAATTCCCTGCTGTGGCAGGGCGCTGGAACTGGATGAGCTTTAAGGTCCCTTCCACCCCAAACCATTTCATTGTTCTATGATATTCCTTGCCCTTTTGATTTCTCCTAGATATTCCTGTGGATCTTGCTTTCATTCAGAATGAATTAAAGAAGAGACAGGGCAGTTCCAAGCAAAAAGTAATCCCTGTGAAGTTAATATAATTCTATATATTCATTGAAGTATTATTTTCTGAGAGTAAGATCATCAAAGCAAACATTAGTAGCTGTTCCTACTCTCTGGTGGATTTTGTAGTGGGTTTTAAGAGCTGCCGGTGTTAAAGATCTGCGTTGGAGTTGTTCCACTCTTAGAAGCACTGTAGGGGTTTGGATTCTCAAGCCCTGTTGTCTTGGTAGATGAGCTTTTCTTCCAGGGATGGGGAGTAGAACTAGACCGGGAGTTGTGGGGATGGTTAGACCTGGCTAGAAGCCACAGCAAGTTGTAGGCTAAGACACCATGCTCCTGGGTTCAGTGCCTGGTATTTGAGTTGGCAGGAGAAAGGGTAGTGGCTCCATCCAGGCTTGTGCAGGGCGGAGAAGCATTGGTTTTGGGAAACTGGATCCACGCTTTGAAGACTCTAGGAGCTGGAGAGAGGCTGGAGATGGGTGCTCTTATTAAGCTGGGAGAAGTCAGCGTCTCACCACTGGAATCTCTTTGTGTGAACAAAATTGGGATCTCTGACATGTTGCCATATGGCCACAAGTTGTTTCTGGATATGCTGTTGTGTTAAACTGGAAACTTGTGTTTGAGGGGCGTCATTCACCTTGGTTGAAGGTTTTCTGTGAGAAGTTGTGTGAAGAAAGGGACAGCTTCACCAGGCTGATGCATTTTTGTTAGCGACTGAAAAGGGAGCTATGATCGAGAGCTGGGCTGGCAGGGCACTCCCCTAACTCTGAATACTTGTTCTCCTGGCAGTGTGTCAGAGATGGCTTCCTCAGTTATTGCTGAATACTTAATTGCACAAATACTGGTTGCCTGGGCTTTAAAGGTACAGCCTAAAAGGTTGGAAGGTAAGGATATGAAAAGGCTACAGAGCCCCTGTGCTTGCATCTGTTTCTTGATAATTTCATGCTTCTTTTTCCTTCTAAACATTAGAATGTTTGAATATATACTTAAGAAGTGGCAATGGGAAATGAGAATGGAAATTCTGGGTTCTTTTTATAGCATTTCCAAACTTAACTTACTGCATGATAGGGACTATAGTGATAGGACAAGGGGTAACGGGTTAAAACTTAAACAGGGGAGGTTTGGATTGGGTATAAGGTGGA